AATTACCCGAACCGTTTCACAGTTTATCGCAAATTGAGAATTCTCAAGTGTGATCACGACACCATCAAGTACGGCGACACAATATTGTAACAAAACTGTGTCTAGGTTTTGCATGTGGTAGTCGCTTCCGGATTCTTTCGAATATGCATTCGGTACAAAAATATATATAACTAATGAAAACACAAGCTCCACCTCCATGATACCAGGTGTTGTTCACATTGATATGCACATTTTCGATTAAGATTTGTTTTTCCTTTCACTGAAGGAGTGAGTAAGTGGGGTTTTACGCCGTCTTAACAGTATTCCAGTTATATCACGGAGTGTCAGTTTAATGTGGGAGGAAAGCCCGGAGCGATGCAGGTCTCATACACTTTCTTCTTCTGTAAAACTACGATCAGGGGCATGGTACCGACAAACCTAAAAACATAATCGAGGTGAACCGGGATTCGAACCCACGATCATAGGTCATTAATTTGTTTATGATTTATAAATAAAACAAATTTTCTTTACCGATGACGTCACTTGGCGGCTAACCAGAGAACCGCACCTCCGGGATTCAGTAAGTATGAGCAACCTAGGGCAACCTAGGGCAACCACAGTATGACGTAAATCAATTAATATGAGCTAACACTGGTTAACCAAGGTTAACTCGGATGATAGCTTGGTCAACTGGGTCGTCCAGGGTTTTCCAATCGAACGCAAACACTACTCCTCGCCACTATGACTATGTGGGTTAATAACCCTGTGTGCAATGAAATGATGGATGGCATGCTTTCCGATGACAAAAACTCCCAGAGCACTTGTTTTAGATTTTAGCAAATGAGGTTAATCTCGAATAGTTCTAAGAGGGGTCGGCTCTTGGTTTTTGCCAAATACAAGTTTATGATTAAGACCGGACGTCAAACTTCCATTCATTGGAAACGTTCCGATAGGGGGTGCCCCGACCACCATTAACACCAAAGATGACTTTGTCGCGAAGCACAATAATATCTCACTGAGCAGTGGGTCATCACGAAGGTGGGCATCCAGATCTGTTCATTCATCGAGATACTGCAGGTTAAGCAGGATAATACTGCGATCACAATCCAATTAGTTTGATACCACCCAAGAAGAAGTTTCAAAACCTAGACCTTGCCACTGAGAGGAGTGTAGGCCATTTCTCACCAACCAGAAACCAGTGAACAATTATCACAATCCTGGTTTTACTTTCAGTTTTAAATTGTAAACGAATCTATTGTGTATCTGTGTGTCGCAATTCGTTATCTATGTGTTACAAGCATCCGCCGGTCGCGTACGGTATTTGATATGACCAGCTTAAACAAACACGATGGGGATTGTCCCTTGCTCAGCTGCTGGACAAGTAAGAAGTGCTGGACAAGTAAGAAGTGCTGGACAAGTAAGAAATGCTGGATAAGTAGGAAGTGCCCGACAAGGAAGAAGTGCTGGACAAGTAAGAAGTGCTGGACAAGTAAGAAGTGCTGGACAAGCAAGAAGTGCTGGACAAGTAGGAAGTGCTGGACAAGTAAGAAGTGCTGGACAAGTAAGAAGTGCCCGACAAGTAAGAAGTGCCCGACAAGTAAGAAGTGCCCGACAAGTAAGAAGTGCTGGACATGTAGGAAGTGCCCGACAAGCAGGAGGTGCTGGACAAGTAAGAAGTGCTGGACATGTAGGAAGTGCCCGACAAGCAGGAAGTGCCCGACAAGCAGGAAGTGCTGGACAAGTAAGAAGTGCTGGACAAGTAAGAAGTGCTGGACAAGTAGGAAGTGCTGGACATGTAGGAAGTGCTGGATAAGTAGGAAGTGCCCGACAAGTAAGAAGTGCTGGACAAGTAAGAAGTTCTTGACAAGTAAGAAGTGCTGGACAAGCAAGAAGTGCTGGACAAGTAGGAAGTGCTGGACAAGTAAGAAGTGCCCGACAAGTAAGAAGTGCCCGACAAGTAAGAAGTGCTGGACAAGTAAGAAGTGCTGGACAAGTAAGAAGTGCTGGACATGTAGGAAGTGCCCGACAAGCAGGAATTGCCCGACAAGCAGGAAGTGCTGGACAAGTAAGAAGCGCTGGACATGTAAGAAGTGCCCGACAAGCAGGAAGTGCTGGACAAGTAAGAAGTGCTGGACAAGTAAGAAGTGCTGGACAAGTAAGAAGTGCTGGACATGTAAGAAGTGCTGGACAAGTAAGAAGTGCTGGACATGTAAGAAGTGCTGGACAAGTAAGAAGTGCTGGACAAGTAGGAAGTGCTGGACATGTAGGAAGTGCCCGACAAGCAGGAAGTGCCCGACAAGCAGGAAGTGCTGGACAAGTAAGAAGTGCTGGACAAGTAAGAAGTGCTGGACAAGTAAGAAGTGCTGGACAAGTAGGAAGTGCTGGACATGTAGGAAGTGCTGGACAAGTAGAAAGTGCCCGACAAGTAAGAAGTGCCCGACAAGTAAGAAGTGCCCGACAAGTAAGAAGTGCCCGACAAGTAAGAAGTGCTGGACAAGTAAGAAGTGCTGGACAAGTAAGAAGTGCCCGACAAGTAAGAAGTGCCCGACAAGTAAGAAGTGCCCGACAAGTAAGAAGTGCTGGACATGTAGGAAGTGCCCGACAAGCAGGAGGTGCTGGACATGTAAGAAGTGCTGGACATGTAAGAAGTGCTGGACAAGTAAGAAGTGCTGGACATGTAGGAAGTGCCCGACAAGCAGGAAGTGCCCGACAAGCAGGAAGTGCTGGACAAGTAAGAAGTGCTGGACATGTAAGAAGTGCCCGGCAAGCAGGAAGTGCTGGACAAGTAATAAGTCCCCGACAAGTAAGAAGTGCTGGACAAGTAACAAGTGCTGGACAAGTAAGAAGTGCTGGACAAGTAGGAAGTGCTGGACATGTAGGAAGTGCTGGATAAGTAGGAAGTGCCCGACAAGTAAGAAGTGCTGGACAAGTAAGAAGTTCTTGACAAGTAAGAAGTGCTGGACAAGCAAGAAGTGCTGGACAAGTAGGAAGTGCTGGACAAGTAAGAAGTGCCCGACAAGTAAGAAGTGCCCGACAAGTAAGAAGTGCTGGACAAGTAAGAAGTGCTGGACAATTAAGAAGTGCTGGACATGTAGGAAGTGCCCGACAAGCAGGAAGTGCCCGACAAGCAGGAAGTGCTGGACAAGTAAGAAGTGCTGGACATGTAAGAAGTGCCCGACAAGCAGGAAGTGCTGGACAAGTAAGAAGTGCTGGACAAGTAAGAAGTGCTGGACATGTAAGAAGTGCTGGACAAGTAAGAAGTGCTGGACATGTAAGAAGTGCTGGACAAGTAAGATGTGCTGGACAAGTAGGAAGTGTTGGACATGTAGGAAGTGCTGGACAAGTAAGAAGGTCCCGACAAGTAAGAAGTGCCCGACAAGTAAGAAGTGCTGGACAAGTAAGAAGTGCTGGACAAGTAAGAAGTGCTGGACAAGTAAGAAGTGCTGGACAAGTAAGAAGTGCTGGACAAGTAGGAAGTGCTCGACATGTAGGAAGTGCTGGACAAGTAGGAAGTGCTGGACAAGTAAGAAGTGCCCGACAAGTAAGAAGTGCCCGACAAGTAGGAAGTGCCCGACAAGTAAGAAGTGCTGGACAATTAAGAAGTGCCCGACAAGTTAGAAGTACCCGACAAGTAAGAAGTGCTGGACAAGTAAGAAGTGCTGGACAAGTTAGAAGTACCCGACAAGTAAGAAGTGCTGGACAAGTAAGAAGTGCTGGACAAGTAAGAAGTGCTGGACATGTAGGAAGTGCCCGACAAGTAAGAAGTGCTGGACAAGTTAGAAGTGCTGGACAAGTAAGAAGTGCTGGACAAGTGAGAAGTGCTGGACAAGTAAGAAGTGCTGGACAAGTGAGAAGTGCTGGACAAGTAAGAAGTCAATGTTTATGGTACCTAACAGGATGTTTGTAATGAAATGCTTATAACAGGATATTAATTGTTATTTTATTTATTTACAATATCAAGGGGTGGGATCAACTGCCACTGTCATTCAGGAGAGACTGTGTCACAACTAAACCTGCACTTGCTGAAGGGGGAAATCAGTTACATGTTGTTGGAAAGGTAAGGACAAGGATAAGTTTTATTCCACACTGAGAGGCCACAGGACCACAGTACAATTCTATTTTCAGGAGTTTAACACGTCATATTCTAATTAACAAAGCATGATAAATGAACATTAATAGTTTTTTAAGGCTATGATTATCAGTTGTCGACGCGATCGATATAAATGTTTGTTGAGTGGGATGTATATAAAAAGGCAGTTCTATACATTTACTTCTTAGGGAGGCAAAGATGCAGAAAACAGACAACACTCCAGACGGCAGTATAGTGTAAGTTGATATTGTATGCTATGCAGTTAATTGGACATTAGTAACCTGTGGTAATACTTCCTGTAACTCAAAGGTCACCAGGACAGTTCACATGAACGGACTTAAGAAATGCAAACTGCAGACAGAGCATGCAGCAAATAGGAATGAACTGTTGTGAAGGTCCTGTGAGAACCAAACAGATATTTGAGAGACTCATAAACTTATTGCAATTGCTCTTATTTTTATCTTCAGTGTATTGATGAGCTATTCTGAAATGGACACTGATGGAAAGTCTGTGAAAAGGACACTATCATATTCCAGTATTTTGAAATGGTTTATTTTTTTATAACAGTGAGAATTAGTGCATCAATGTTAATAATTGAATGTTAAAAATGTGTTAATAATTTACACTGTTTAATTCTATTAGCATTCTATAATGTAGTATACAGGGAGGTAACTTGTGTCACCATACTTATAGGGGCAGTGTGAGGGAGATAACTCTGAAAGGGTGTAGAACGAATAAGGTAGACGAAGGGGAAGCGTTACTGGGCAAGCCGGTGGGCGGTAGAATAGAATAACAGAGAGGGTGGTTGGATTTGTACATTAATGGAATAAAGATGTGTGTTGATTGTAGCAGCCACTTACGTGTGTTTCTGGGAAAGTATGATGATGACAATATTAATGCAAATCCTCTTAAAGCAACACAAAACATTTGAAAGCTATAATGTTGAAACAATCTTCGAACATTTTAATTTCAGTCCACCTCTCATAATGTGAAGGTATAAACTATCTTATGTAACATTTGTTTAGAGAAATACAACACTGAAAGGCTTATAAGTACTGGATACCAACTCTGATACTACTACAACCATTGTTACTAAACTACAACGAATAAAGGCCGGCCAAAGGGCCTTCCAAAATACATTCAAGGATCAAGCTTATTCAAGGATTGATGGTGAATCCATCAACTGAATTGTTCACGTTTCACATCAGCCAAAGGTAGCCGTAGCGTACATAAAGTATTCACAAAGCAATTCCCTTTAACCATAAACAGTTCTAAATGTTGAAGTGTCGTCAGCTGTCCAGGTGTCATTGATGACGTCAGTTATCCAGAGAACATGGATGAAGTCAGTTATCCAGAGAACATTGACGGTGTCAGCTGGCCAGAGAACATTGGTGATGTCAGCTGGCCAGAGAACATTGAGGATGTCAGCTGGCCAGAGAACATTTGTGATGTCAGCTGGCCAGAGAACATTGACGGTGTCAGCTGGTCAGAGAACATTTACAACGTCAGCTGGCCAGAGAACACTGGTGACGTCAGCTGGCCAGAGAACATTGACGATGTCAGCTGGCCAGAGAACATTGACGGTGTCAGCTGGCCAGAGAACATTGGTGATGTCAGCTGGCCAGAGAACATTGGTGGTGTCAGCTGGCAAGAGAACACTGACGATATCAGCTGGCCAGAGAACATTGATGGTGTCAGCTGGCCAGAGAACATTGATGGTGTCAGCTGGCCAGAGAACATTGACGATGTCAGCTGGCCAGAGAACATTGACGATGTCAGCTGGCCAGAGAACATTGATGGTGTCAGCTGGCCAGAGAACATTGATGACGTCGGCTGGCCAGAGAACATTGATGGTGTCAGCTGGCCAGAGAACATTGGTGATGTCAGCTGGCCAGAGAACATTGATGGTGTCAGCTGGCCAGAGAACATTGAGGATGTCAGCTGGCCAGAGAACATTGACGATGTCAGCTGGCCAGAGAACATTGGTGATGTCAGCTGGCCAGAGAACATTGATGGTGTCAGCTGGCCAGAGAACATTGACGATGTCAGCTGGCCAGAGAACATTGAGGATGTCAGCTGGCCAGAGAACATTGACGATGTCAGCTGGCCAGAGAACATTGGTGACGTCAGCTGGCCAGAGAACATTGATGGTGTCAGCTGGCCAGAGAACATTGACGATGTCAGCTGGCCAGAGAACATTGGTGACGTCAGCTGGCCAGAGAACATTGACGATGTCAGCTGGCCAGAGAACATTGGTGACGTCAGCTGGCCAGAGAACACTGACGATGTCAGCTGGCCAGAGAACATTGGTGATGTCAGCTGGCCAGAGAACACTGACGATGTCAGCTGGCCAGAGAACATTGATGGTGTCAGCTGGCCAGAGAACACTGACGATGTCAGCTGGCCAGAGAACATTGAGGATGTCAGCTGGCCAGAGAACATTGATGGTGTCAGCTGGCCAGAGACAATGATGGTGTCAGCTGGCCAGAGAACATTGACGGTGTCAGCTGGTCAGAGAACATGGACGGTGTCAACTGGCCAGAGAACATGGATGTGATAAGTTGTCCAGAGAATCTGGATGACTTTGGGTGGTCAGAGAATGGTGACTTCACCTGTCCAGAAAATAATATGATAACCTTAATATCCCATTAGTTCACATATACATTTTTTATTCTTGAATGTTGCATGTCTGTGTTTTTCAGATTTTGGTAGAAAGTCCCAGTTAAACAGGTGGTGAATGTTGCTCATAACAAACGTATGCATGTGTCTCTCAGCGACACGATTGGCACGGGTCTGAAACAAAAGAAGCCCCTTTACAACACAAGATCATAAGGAGCCTTGTCAGGATTGATGTATCGAAAACATGCATGATGATTATGATGACTCTAGATGACCTGCCAAATTAATAATAAGGAACAGGCACTTTTACATTTGTGATTGTAAATATTTCATATAACATTCACCATACAAAGCATGGGAGTGTACATGTGCTTATATATACTTGTACCTTTAACCACTCAAAGGTCTCTGTTTCATACTGCACACAATCAGGCAGTTTCATGACGTTATCCGTAACGTGCTTCTGGAAATGGAAGAATTAGTACTGACTGGTATATTATATAATGGGTAGTCTGATGGTATATATCTCGTGTTCTTTTCTTTTTTAAAAGCGTCCCTTGGCCACACCCTTTTCAGTTCAAGTTTCTTGTAGTAACGCATTCAGAATATGTACATACTTACAAAGTAGTGCCACAGCACTAAAGATCAAATTATTTCTACGGTGTTTTTAAGTTGCAGCTTTAACGAGTGAAGGACATTAGGAATAGGGTTTAGTGTTGCACAACAAGGGATAGAATATGGTATATGTATTTCTAACTTACCAGACATGGTGACAAATCGTAGTACATCAGTTGAAGCTGGACATGATTAAGGGATTTCTTTTTCAAAAACATGTACTTAAATGAGTCGCACTTCTATTCGTTCATAAATTATTATGTTTTGGTATTATGCATTAGCAGTTGTGAAGGATACAATGGGTGGGTCGAGAAACCTTGTGTAGTTGATCAGAATCTTTGTCTTCATCACATTTTCGTTGTGACTTTGAATAACACGTCTAAACTCTTTCAAATTCTAGGTGAAAGCAAAATACACGTTGAGGTGAGGATAGCAATACAAATTACAAGTCTTTGAATGGCGCAAGTATCACTTAGTGGATATTGCATTAACAAAGATCTTTAATTCAAAGCTCAGTCGTATGAAGGCTGTTTACGTAATGGTGTGAAAAATGACTTTGTAGATACTGAAAAGAAATTATCTTTTTAAATTTCAAAATATAAACAAGAAATAATCAAAATATGTTATCAATCATTTCCTTGTTGATTAAGTTAGAATAAGAATATTAATGTTCAACACGTTGTATGTGTTTTACAAAGAACAATCAGTGGAAACAACCCTTTGATGGAAACTATTTGAAACATACTTCCGTGAAAACAAGCAAAGAGCAACTGGTATTGCGATCATAGCAACACCGATACAGATCAGCATGTAGAGAGCGTTGTAGAACGCATTGGTGTAGTAGAACAGTGGAACCATGACAATGCACACAACGAGGCTTGTGATGAGAAGGCCACACAGGCAGACACTCCACGCGTGACATGAGCTGTCAGACAGGGAATAGAATCTCATTTCCCGGGATCTGTTCGCAATATCTTTGGCCTCTTGATACACGTCTTCGGCAAACTGTTTGAGATTATGTTATAATCATTGATTTATAAATTTATTTCTTAGAATATTTTTATAATTTATAACATTACAAAAGAAATTTTATATATATATATATATATATATATATATATATATATATATATATATATATATATATATATATATATATATATAATGTCTTGTATATATCACGTGTTCACGTGTTCAAACGATACCCCGTTAATTGATTGAATACTTCATGATGATGCCTCCTGACTTCACACACGTTTGTATTTTAAGAAGCATGTTTGACGATGTACTTACATCAATCCTCTTACTCAAAACACTTCACATTTGGGTCTTCTCTTTTATAAGGGGTGTAATGAGACAAATTAACTTGTTTCAACGTTATAAAACTACATTGAGGGAAAAAGAATGCCTACAAGCAATCAGTTACACATATATGCCAACACAAAGTGGCATTAGGGATCCTACCTCGTTTCCAAAACGTGAAAGCTCAAGTCTTTGGGACTCTGTTAGATCTCCGAATGCCCATGATGGCCCTTCACACATGAATGTTGAGCATTTACTCCCCTTAATCGTCATGCGTAAACCACTTCCTGTTTAAAAGTAAAGTTGTCGTAGTCGTAAGGAAGTTTCAAAATTTACATTTGTTTCCTTTATTCTTAAATTATTCGGCAAAATAATCTTTTTTCTATTTAAATAATGTTTTTCAATTTGCACAACACATAATGAAGTGATGTGAATATACGGCGTTGTGATGTTTACCTTTCATCCTTAAAAAGTTGATAACACGTGGTTGAAGGTCATCATCTGAAAGAAAGAGAGACCAATGACTGAAAGCACATACAAAGCATTTGTAAATCAGAAATCAATACATTATACATTAATAGCCTTTGCAATCCGTGTGCATGAACGCGGTTCCTACATTTACAGTGTCCTTATGCTTGTTCTTGTATGCAGTTACCTTTACTTAGTGGAGTTCTATTATTGTCAATGTGCCCCGCCAACACATAAGGTGCATTTCTTGTGGTCCACGCTCCAATTGCCGCATTGTTGACATTACATTTGCAACATACAATCAATCAACATATTTCAAGTTGGAATAACTCTATGTTTGTTGCGATAACAGCCAATGAATGTGACCGAGTTGATAAATAGCTAACTGTGGTATTCTTGGGGGCACGGGTGGCACAGTCATCTAATGCGCCACGATTCGCTGTGCAGAGTAGTGTCCCTTGGGTAGTGTCACCTATGATTGTGGGTTCGAATCCCGGTTCGCCCCGATTATGTTTCTAGGTTTGTCAGCACCATACCCGTGCTCGTGGGTGTCACCGAAGTGGTAAACGTCTGAAACCTGCATCACCTCGGGCTTTCCTCCCACATTAAGCTGACACGCCGTGATATAACTGGAATACTGTTATAAACGGCGTAAAACCCAACTCACTCACTCACTTACTCACTGTGGTATTCTTACCTATTCTGACCAAAGTATGCATGTGTAAGACATACCAAATTAGGTGTGCGGTAAGATAAATTCGGTGTCCATCGTTCCCTCGGAGGACATGGGTTGATGTACCTTCTATGTTAGTTCACGTTCCCCGACCCCGAAGATTGAATATGACATCAACCCATGACCTCCTCGACAGAGTTTACATAGTTGATGTACGGCATAAGTATATGTATGGCTGAAGTTAATGAGAGGGTACATTGGCAATTGGATTAATTTGAAAACAGAGATAATCAAATAATATATTAAATCGTCAGGAATGCCACAAATAAGTGTCCTTGGCATTGTACTAACCTGAGTATCTAACAAGCAGCATAACATGTCCCAATTGGGTACATCTTGGGAGATTTAGTTGTTTTCTAATTCATTACGTTTCTTTCCTTTGTTTCATTATATCATTCTTCATTGTTCTTTGTGTTTTATCGCATTACATATTTGTTAATAATTCTGATGTCATTCATACAATGAAACAAAACACACAGCTGTATATTATGAATACTTGTCGGCTAGTTGTTGAGGCACAATGACATTGTTACCATCCTAGATTCTCATTAGCCGTCTCTTACGTCAAGCATGGGGTACAGAGGACGCTTACCCATTGCAGCAAGAGCCCGAATGGTTCTATTCACATGGTCCTCTCCTTTGGGAACATCAATGTAGTTGAACGTCTTGAAAATGTCTGGTATTACACACGGCTTCAACAGAAGCGGTATTATTCTGTTCTGTCGTTCCTCCATAGACAACACAAAGGCCCAATCTCTTTCTTGTTGGCACCATGAACTTTCAAGTGACTCTGGTGTCAGTACAAACACAACCTTCGTGCTCTCAGCGATCCCTCTTTGTATCAACCCCGGTATGCCTTGACCGGCCACAAAGTCTCGTTTTTGCCATAGACACTTAACACCATGGTTGCCCTCAAGAACCTTCACCAGCCCCTCTACCCATTCGGTGTCTTCTTCACAGTGAGAGATGAAAAGATGATGTGACTTCCCAGCGGGAATATCAGGGATTCTGTCATCCAACCTCGCAGGTGAAGTTGTATTGTAGGCTGCAGACTCTGATCCAACATGTAATTGAACAAGATGATGGCCACTTTCCTCAAGTTCAAGTTTTGTTTCTTCATTAGCTTCCATCCCAATCTGTAATGAAATATCATCAAATGATCCTCCTTGTGATTCAGTTTTGCAAATGTTGTACAATAGTGTTGTTATTACACATACGTACCACCTCGCATGACCCAGCGTATAACTAAGCGTATTTTGTGTTCTCCCGATATTAGAAATGGTGAATGTCTTGTTTTTAATATTGTTTAAGGCACCACAGTGGACATGTTCAACTACGTCTAATTCGCTGCGCAGATGTTTTGTGAGATTGCGTTCCGGCTCGTCCTGGTTATGTCATGTCAGCACCATGCCCGTGTTCATGGGTTTCCCAAAGGTGGTGGACGTCTAAGATCTGCATTAAATATCGGGGAAAATGCTGGACTGACGAAGCTGAGTTGTGAATGCATGCTCTTTCTGATGATGCAATATTTTTTTTAAAATCATTGTGGTTTTGTGGTCAGGGTTTTATCCTGTTACAAAATTGGGCGAGGGATAAAGGAACGGAATACGTTCGACCGTCCGTTCGCTTCTCAATCGGGACAAAAGTTTTGAAAACCTATTTAAGTAAGAAAAATAAAATTTTGCCCACTGATGTTACCGCCACCATCTAAAATGTGTTCGAAAATTATATTCAATCTTAACAGAGTAAAGGCCCTAGCTCCACACTTTCAACTTAATGCATACTGACTGAAATGGGGACAAGTTTTCTCAGAAACTACATAAATGAAAGTTTGCAAGCTTATCTGAGAGGTAGTTAGAGATATCCAGATTGAGCTATTTTTTTCCAGAGACACCTCCATTGCGACATTTTAATATTTTGTACATCTGGTCTTCAAAGGGGATAGGTTTCCCGAGTAACTACATGAAAGTTTGCATGTTTATTAGAGACACTTGTTTTAACATTAACTTCCATTTTATTCACTTCCATCTGAATTCTAATTTTCCCCGTGGCGGGGGATAGTGAAAGCGCTGTTTTCTTGTTTTCTCAAAAATATACTGAACTGCAAAAGAAACGTCACCCCAAGTAACATTGCATGAAAAGTTGTCATTTAAATATATGGGTAATTTTTGTCAAAGTTTCTAAAATTTAACATTACCTTGTCAGGAAAAATGAAATTTGATGATAAAAAAGCAGATGACAATAAAACCTATCGCCGCAAATTGAAATGCACATGCTTTCCCCCATTTCTTGCCCTATAAAAATCCACCCAAATCGGATAACATTCATTCCTTATTGAATTGCTACCACATGCCAAGATTGACAAGAAAAAAGCTACACCAAGCCCTTGGACGATTGCAAGCTGGACAAACCGCCCGACAAGTAGCCAATGCATTTCAAGTCCACGTAAGGATCATATACAGGCTGCAGCAATGGTACCAGACCACCAACACTACAGATGACCGACCACACAGTGGAAGACCAATGGTCATCACCCGATGTCATGATCGTCAGATTGTGCGACAGCATCTTCAAGATCGCTTTGTTACTGCTGCGGAAACTGCTCGACAGACAATGGGGACACACCAGCGACACATTAGTGCGGACACCGTGCGTCGACGATTGACGAGCAGACACCTCCACTGTCACAGGCCACACCGAGGACCCATTCTGACACCACGTCATCGCCAGGACCGGATATGTGTATAATTTTTTTAAGTATATTCAAACATCATCATGATCAGCATTCAGCTTCATTTGGTGCCGTAGACATTATATTACAAAAAAATGTTTTCTCTCAGAATACATTGCACAAATTGTTCTTAAACGATGTGACTGTCTCTGTGGTCTAGTTGGTAGAGTGTGTGCACCGATAGCGGAAGGTCAATGATTCGATCCCCGGCCGCATCATTCACAGCAAAAAAAATGCAGTTTCCGGTATACGGATACCTTCCGGGTACCTCCGGACACTTACCCAAAAAGCGTCTGGGAATCCGGTGGCAGAAACCTTGCCAGATACCAGATCCATGGTATCTGTAATCCTCACTTGAAAGTATGCCTCCTGGAATCCGGGTATCCGGCACCGGATACCTCAATCTAGGTGTCAAAGAATCCAGCACCGGATACCCCACCGGATACCTCATACTGAGTTTCCAAAAATGTCACAATTTGGGGGGTGTATCTTGTTCAAATAAGCGTGAAACACCTAAAAATATATTTGAAACTAACCAAGAAAATTGAACATTGCTGAAGGTATCCGGCAGGTATCTGGATAAGATTTTTCAAGATGTCTTTTTCCTAGTAAATAATGTTAACCTGGGCATATCAGATAGCTGTAGTAATATTCTGTGTTATTTTAGTTGTAAATATCCCCTTAAAGTTGAAATCTATGGGCATGTACTTTGGGTGAAAACATTTTTCAATGTCATATATATTTCATTTTAGATGTTCAGCGTATTAAATGAAAAACTATCAGTCCTGGTATGATGATATCCTTACATTTCATCTTCATATTCCCAGTTTGTTCTAGCTTTGTGGTTGAAGCGTCTGATTCACCAGATCGGTACAATGTGTGAAGCCCATTGCTTCGTGTCACCTATCATGATATTGTTGGAATATTGCTCAAAGTGGCATAACACCATACTCACTGACAAAAAAATGAAAGTCTCTGGCTATGTGCTCACTTGGGCCTTTGTTCCTGGTGAGATTAAAAGATTATTTTGGAATGGTATCAGTACTTGTTACATCTAGACAGTAGAGTTTCATTGAAGTTTAAAACAGAATATAATTGCCCCAAATAGGTGCATAAGACTAAAGGAATCCACAGAAAACCCCTAATAAAGAACCAGTACATAAACATATCAATTTATTTTTTCTACTGACATGGAACTAAACACTTTGTTCAGTGAGCTGTATTAATTGTAGGAAAACATTCAGGGCATTAGTATATTTGATATATGTTCAGCACCTATGTTACTTCTTTATGCTAATGAAGCTAAACAAAGAATTTGTTTAGATAAAAAATCGTATTTATTGATTGTATGACATTTCACTGGTTCAGTAACCAGAGGTGTTGGCAAGAACTTTCAAATACAGAAACAGATGCTTCAATGCCATTTTCTAAATAAACAAATTAGTCAAATCTCAAAAGAATTTCAAGTTAGAAGAATATCTAACGTCAATTGTGTTTGTGCAGTAAACCACAAAAGTCATTCAGATTTGTATAGTCAGCGTCAGTGTACACCACATAAACATAGTCACACTGCTGTGGTATTAATTCCTTCAGATTTGATTAGTGTCGTAATAAAACCACCCACAGAATCACACTGATGTGGCATTATTCATAAAGAATCATCACTTTCTGAGGTGAACCTGTTGGTTGTTCTGGGGAGGATAATTCATCATCCGGTGAGTCCTTTGTATGACTTGTCTGAGCTGGTGTCACTGTGAAATCCAGGTACCTGAAACAATTTATAACATCTTTAAAAGCTTGTTATTAAAAAAATAAGAAACACACATATAATGACAAAGTGTAAAAAGTTGTTATCACGATCCGTAAGGTAAAGACAATTTATCAAGCAACTGATATTTAACCATGTTAACCAAACTTCGAACATGTAAATAAGCCATAGCAAACCGTAAATTTTACAGAAAAAAACAAAATTGTATCTGATCTTCTAAAAATAATTCCTGTAGTGCCACAAGGCTCACCTGAATTGTTCTCAAATGTTTGCATTACATCAACAAGGAAGGGTAAACAAGGCAATGCAAAATTGCATAAAACAGGTTCTTATACATAAAAACAGAACTATTCAAAATTATCAAAACATTCAATCACACAAGTCATGTAAGTAATCTCAAAATACTATATAATGAGTGAGCAAGTTAGTATAGTTTCACACGGCTTTTAGCAATATTCCAGCAATATAGAAATGGGCTTTTCACACAATACCCATGTGGGGAATAGAACCTGGGGATTCGGAGAACACTTTACCCATTAGGCTACCCTATCATCCCAAATATAAAAGAAAGTAACATTAGGATTTCATACAACAGACATTTTCACCAAATATCAAGTCACTATACAACTGATTGAATTACTGATTAGAAGAGCAAATACATTTCAATGTAGCAGCTGAATCAGACTTAATTTGAATCGTTCCTTGATTTAGTTGCAATGGGAGCCACATTGGAAATAATTACCTCACTAATTATTGATATTTAATATCTACCATTAATTGGTAGGCCAAAAGAGACACTGATAAAAAATTCAACTGAGAAGAACCGCTCGAACCATCAACTAAAAACTATGTACATTGTATATTACATTTAAGGGACCTGTCATTTACTTGTATGTTCTTATATATTTTTCACACAACTCTCCCTGAAAAGGAAAAATGCAAAGCACTTTATATTTTATTATCCGTTTTTCATAAAACCTCCCCTAGAGACTGCCATATTTTTGGGTGGCCCAGCCTGTTTGTTCTGACCTTAATTCAGCTACTGGCAATATTCATGAGTAAAATCATTACCATATTTTTATCATTTATCCTATCGTTTTTGAAAATTAATTTAATGAAGATTAACAATAACAGGAAAAACTGTCAAATATATTGGTCTGGCAAAGTGTCATCATAATTAAAGTATTTCTATTCGGATTTTGGAACTTTTCAAGGGTAATTGTAAATACATGTGTATATTTCCTATTAGAATACTCATTTGATTGTTATAAAGTTAAACAGTTTTGGATCTATCGTCTGTTTCTAAATACAGTGGAACCCAACTTTGACTTGCGTGACATAATTGAATCATTCCCCAAGTTCTGTAAGCATTGGTAAGCATTGTCATGCATCTGCACAGAGTGGTCAAAGTCCTTGTCACACACATAGTTTGCTACAAGGGAGAATCCAATAAAGTACAGTTGAGACATCAGGTTGTATCCAGACAAATTGTCTGATAATATCAAGGGTGGCCTTTGTAGCATCATAGTATGTAGCTAATCCTAAATATACATTAAACAAGTGACCAATAATAATCCGAAGGCGAGAGATAGAATAATGAAATTAAAAGATGAAATGGACCTAGTTGACCCCTGGCG